GGGATCAAAACAACAAAAGTCCAATATTGTATAATTTTGATAAATACCACATGGACGAAGAATGAGTTTAAAAAACATAGTATGGCAAAGCGAGCCTGTGGAAAATACCTGGAGACAGTTTTAAGAAATAATCGCGCCGAGATGCAGCAAAACATGACTATGTAAGTTTGTTAATGATTAACAGCTTGTGCAATTTTGGCACATTTTTAAAATATCACTCGTAGTGTTACTGTAATCACTAATTGCACTCCTTCCTGTGTGATTACCATAGAAATAATAGATAGTATCTATTATTTCTATGGTGATTACCTATACTTATATAGCATTTATTACTTATTTACTGAGACCGAGGTAAACAGTGTTTACCACATTTATCACTTATTTACTGAGACCGAGGTAAACAGTGTTTTGTGGACCAGAGCCTGCCGTTGTTGCCTGAGACGAAGCCAAGGGCAACAACAGCGGTCGAGGGGGAAAAAAAAAACACACTGTTTTCCCAAGGTCATGTGTGGACCGGCACGTGTACGGTTATGACTTATCAGCAAACAGAAAAATTGAACTTTGACACTAACTATATAACAATGACATTTATATTACACTGAATAATTGCCGATGTTTTACGATTATTGTACATTATTTTTGGTGCCCCCCCCCCCTAAGTGGTTAATACATTTTTGGTCCCCCCCCCTCAATATCTTCTGGCCCACCCCCGGCATTAATAATGACTGCTCCCTTTACGATGTTGGAGATTGGAGGAGGGGTTGAGAAGGTTCGGGGGGGGGGGGGTTGCGAAGGGGTCCACCCCTGAAGTCAAAATAGGGGATGAACCCCTAATTAATATAATATTTTACCACTTTAATTTAAATATAAAAGAGGAGATGGGGACGAATCTCTTTCTTTGTCAATTACCACTGAAATATGTATCCAACAACCATCAATAATTCCAATTACTGTAACTGGAAATGTAAGCCCCCGTTATGCTTATTATGCTTTTCATGCTTAGAGTTTGAAGTTTAATTTAATTTTTGACCTTCAGGGACGACCTTAATTGAATTAGCTGTGTATAATGGCATTAACTGTTGTGTTGTTTCAGGACATTATCAGCAGTAATTTGTACTATACAGTGAACCGAGGGATCCTGGCAGATATTTTATTTCCAGCTGTTGGAACCAGTGGAACTCAAACCCTGCACATAAAGAAACCATTTCATATCACAGAAGTATCTACCCTGGTAACTATTCCTTGTGAGAATGATTGTCAAACAATGCTGGATTGTTTAAATGATGATGTGTACAGTGCCATATCCTGTTATTTGGGTACCTTTGATAAGGCTGCAGTTGAGCATTTGTTGAAAATGCATAAACTTAAAGAATTGGCAAGAAATGTGAAGAATGAAAAGGAATGGCTAGAAGAATATGTGCAAGCACCACACAAAACTTGTGCCCCACTTCAAGGTTTGGAAAGTTTCAAAGAATTAATTTTTAATAACAGTAACGATAAAGTTGTTTTGGGTAAGTCGGTCTTGTCTGAGGATTTGGCAACTCTCACCTGTCAACGATGGCTAAACATAAACGTAATTGGTCAATATGCAGATATTTTAAATAGCTATAACACGGAAACAAGAACATTTATTTTGAACAGATTGATTGGTTTGAAAGCAGAAGATCTCGAGGAACTCATTAAAACAAGTAGGGGGGATATTTGTAAATATTTTACATTCATAGTGAATGTTGGAACAAAAGGCGGTTCACAATATGTGGGAACGCCTTTGCAAAAAGGATGTCACTGGGTTGTACTCTATGTTGATACTACAACAAATGAATATTGGTATATAGAGACACCTTGGGATGGGCTCCACCAAAAGACCTTTTTGACTATGTGAATCCCATTCTGGATGCATTCTTTTGTGCTTCTTCTTTATCCAGAAAACAAACTTGTGGTCGATATCTGGCTCACAAGACAAGTGTTGATGATGTTGGTAGGCACAAATGTCTGAATTCATGCTACAAAAACATCCCACTTCAGGATTGTGCTAGTGTCTGTGGGGTAATAGCTGTTGTTATTGCCTCACTGATTTGCTTACAGCCAAACATGTGGGCATCTTGTTTTCTTTCCAGAAGCAATACTTTGCCAGATAGCTTGAGTTGGCTAACTCGCCCCTCCACACATTCTTCCTACTTGCGAAGAGTACTTATTGAATGGATCATGCATGGAGAGATAGATACATCAGCTTTGGGTTTCTCACATGCCAATGTCAGCTTCAAAGCACCATTGCCAACAAAGTTTGTTCTAACTAATAACTTTGTACATGTACCTACCACAACCTCCAACATACAAGCAGCAGCCTTCAAGCTGGGTTGCAGCAACCCAGTCAAGAAAGTGCATGATAATAAAGAAAATGAACACTTGCCTAATAATGAAAAGCACACCACAGAGAACTGCAAAGAACATCTTCCAGAGATCTCACCTAGTAGTATGAGCATGGAGAAGGTAGTAAGACCTCACCTAGTAGTAAAAACACAGGAGAAGAAAGAGGGTATAAAATCCATCACCCAAGCCAAGTCTAAGATTACAAGAAAGACCTTCAAAATTAAGAAACCAAATGGCAACACAAAAAATGACAGTAAAGAAAATGAGCACTCGCCTAATAAACAATCACATAAAAACCACGCCATGGAGAACTGCAAAGAACATCTATCAGAAATCTCACCTAGTAGCATGACCGTGCCACAGGAAAAGCGAGAAGATATAAAATTCGATGATATAAAATTCGATAAAATTGATGGCTTTGTTTAATTTAAAATTTTACTCTGTTAAAATTCGCCACCCAAGAGTCCCAAGCCAAGTCTAAAGTTGCAAGTAGGGCCTTCAATGAAACAAACCTAGAGAAAGGTCAAACATTTTCTTCATATTCTAAAGTCTTAGAAGCATTGCAGGCATTATATCTACAGGTATTTTGAAATTACTTGACACTAAAATGTGATTTCAATGAGTGCATCAATTTTACTCTTTTCTAGTTGGCTAACAGCCTTGAAATTTAGTTTTACTTTCTTTGCTCAGTTTGCAGGAGGTATTGAGCAAGCAATCAAATTTTTGTTGATGGCTTTGTTTAATTTAAAATTTTACTCTGTCTGATGCCAGACAATCTTACTTGTCAAAGAGGAAGAGTTGGATGTTGACGGGTTCAGTGTAATTCCCTAATTTTGACATGTTTACTGTTGTCTAATTGCAGCACTTTCCAAATGAATTGTCCAGCACTTATTAAGTTAAGACCATCAGCCGATGGAACAAAACTGGTAGTCACTGAGATGTCTGAGGAGCACAACCATGAAGTGAATAAGGTATGTACAGGGCCGCCGAGAGGTTGGCGGGGGCCCGGGGCAATTTTTTTTTGCGGAGAACAACCCACCCCCCTCCCCCATCGACAACTTTTTAGGTTAAAAATTTTTCCGGACGAGTACGTTGCAACTACTTTCCAGGGACTTTATCTCAATTTTTCATGCCAAATTTTGGTACTTAGCCCGAAAACACAGATATCTTGTCCTTTGCGCGGAAATATTTAACACACAGAAAAGACTGGGGCCCAACAAAAAATTTTCAGGGGCCCGGGGCAATTTGCCCCCCCCCCTCGGCGGCCCTGGGTATGTATATATTAGATGTAAGTACAAGTCGCTGTCGTCCATTCAAGTTAAACCCTAGTTTTAGTTTAGGAAATGGTTTGGACAACATATTTTTAAATAAAAAATCGAACAATTTTATCAATTTGTGAAGCAATATTTCATTATGTTCTTTAGAAGTCCTTTGAACATCTTCCAACGCAAAGACGAGTGGAAGGGGAAACCAAAGAAGATGTTAAAAGAATGTTGGAAATGAAAGCTAACAAGAAGTTGATACAGCAACATATCCTACACTCAACTGGGAAGTCCATGACACTCAAGGATATACACAACATGGTGGAAAGAAAGGATGGTAATCTAACTGAATTAATAGAAGATATGAAAAGTCAACCTGGTAAGCGTACGGTGGTTTTGTTACAAACTGTATTAGGTAATTCCAGAAAACATCCCCATCCTAGTACATTTCACTGTTATCGGGAAAAGATTCTACACCTGGACAGCATAAACTTCCTCTGTGGGGTCGAATCGTTTTCTTGATGCTATTAGCCGAGCCAGTTACAGTAGTCAAGTTACAAAGGTTTTTGTATATGTAACAGTGATAATTTGACTCTACAGTATATTAATTATACAGTATTAAATGTTCTGTAATTTGCTTGTATAGGTGGAAAAGTGGAATTGTACGTTGATGAAGAAAAAAACTTTAAAGGTCTCTTCTATCAGGATGAAGAAATGAGATGGATATTTGATGCCTTTCCCGAAATTTTACTGATCGACGCCACATATAAATTGAACAATCTACGATTACCATTATATGTGATGCTTGCTGTCGATGGAAACGGTGAAAGTGAAATCGTTGGGCTTATGCTATTGGCGGATGAGCAAGCCGATACGATTCGGAAAATGATTAGACTGTTTAAAAAACATAACGCAGCCTGGGAGAAGATTAACTGTGTCATGGCTGACAAGGACATGACAGAACGGAAAGTCATAAAAGAAGAGATTCAACAAGCCGGATTGCTCATCTGTTTGTTCCACACAATGCGCTCATTCAAAAGGGAAATTACCACCGAGAAAATGGGAATTTCTGTGGACGAACGGCTCCAAGTGCTTGAGATTATCCAATCTATGGCATATGCACCAACCGAAGAAGTCTACCAAGATCTGTACGCCCAGCTCATGGACACTAGGTTTAGTGCTGTTAAGGTATATTTTATCGAGAACTGGCACTCGATACGAGATGAATGGGTAGAAGGGAACAAGAAAAAATTTAGCAATTTTTTAAACTCGACAAATAACCACCTGGAGAGTATCAACCAAAAACTAAAGTCGGTAATTACAAAACATTCGTGTCTTTTGGACTTCCACCGTGATTTGCAACACTGTATTGCGTCATTACGTCAGGAAAGAGACCACCGAGCTGCTATGATATTTCAAAAACGACCGGTTGATTTGAATGAATTTGAATCTAATGAACGTTTGTTCTACGAACAATGCACCCCGTATGCTTTCTCTCAAGTGAGAAAACAACTCAGCCTTGTTCCAAAGGTGGGAAAATTTACCGAGCAGCCATGTGGTGTCCACACTGTCACCACCAGTACAGGTGATCATTCCGTGACACCAAACATTGTGTCAATGTAGCTTTGCAACATCAATGAAGTTGCCTTGCCGTCACATGCTAGCCCTTAGAGGTAGTCTGGGACTACAGTTATTTAGCCCTGATCTCTGCGACAAAAGATGGACAAAGTCGTACTTTTATAATTCTCATCGGGTGTTTCGCCTCGGTGTGGAAGCAATCGATGAACATAACAACACACATCATTCTGATGACTTTATTTCTGTAACCATTGAAGAATCGAGGCCAGCGGGGAAAAAGATTTTATCGCAACACGAGAAGTATAGAAAAGCCTTTTCCATTGCTCAAAAAATCGCAACTTCTTGCATGCCTTAAAAAGTTATTGGGTTCATGGCAAGAAAGTGAGGAGGTTAAAATAGAAATAAGTCAAGAAAAGAACGAACCTTCGATTCATGAGTTTAAAGAGATCCTAATCGAAAGCAAGCCCCCTGAATGTACGCAAATTGAGACTGAATCTGACCAACATATGCCCCAAGATAAGGAAATTGGGTGCGAATCTAGTCAACGTATACCTTGAGATAAAGCAGAAGGTAATAATAGTAATAACTAATATCATGGGCGGATTTACTGGGGGGGAGTTAGGGGGGTTAACCCCCCCCTTAGAATCTCTCTAACTTCTCTTATAATGTTTTCAACCCCACCAAAATTTCGCTTCACCCCTCCTATTTTGTGTGAAAATCTTTAACCCTAATGCCTAACCCCTGTAAAAAGCTCGCTCAGCGGTAGCGCTTGCACCCCACTAGAAATTTTTGCACCCCTCCTTTAAAAAAAATGAAAATTCGCTCTTATACTGTTAATTTGTTGTATTTACTGTTAATATTGTTAATTCGTTGTATTTTACTTTCGACAAAAAAACAAGGGTTATTGTTTCAAACGCCATTATATTACTACCAATGCCTTCCTTGATTTATATTATGCATACCAGTATAAAATGTTACCCTATTTGATTAATAAATGCAATGACGCTAATCATATACCGTATTACCGTTTTCAACGTTTATCTTTCACTACTTGCAGTCGACGTTGTTAAGGAAGTCAAACTGCCACCAAAGATGAAAGTTCGGGGAAGGCCCAAAGGGGCAGATATGACAGCAATTGGGCTTCCAAAAAGACGAAAGCTCAATAGTAAAAGACCAACTTTGTTCATCAACAAATCTCCAACAGATAAGGCAGAATGTGAGTATCATATGTACTATTTAAAGCACGCGTAGGAGTGTTTTATCACATATAAAACATGACGCGTAGCGGAGTGTTTTATATGTGATAAAACACGACTACAAATGCTTTAAATGGCTTCAAAAACGACTCATCTTATTCAAGTTCATTGGCGAAGTAATTTTTAAAATAAACTTTGTCTAAACCGAGAAAATCAAAGCTAAAGTTCATGTAAATTAACATGATTTTTTATCACTTACAAAACCACGACACGCTTATGATTTTTCTTTGTGTTTTCCTCCTGAATTATTAATGAGTTTTTGAAAGTCTTATAAGATGAGCAAACTAAGCCAGACTATTATTCACATAATTTTATTCTCAGTTTTGATTGGCTAATTTTCCTGTAAACTACTGTGAATAATAAATACGTCGGCTGCAAAAAAAATGCCCGAGGTCTTGAAAAAGTATTACTAAGTATTGTTAGTATTATTATTAAGTACCTCTATTTTGTCTTTCAGTTATTTTAGGAATGGTGACATCACAGAAGGTCATTAGTAAAGCATTGTCTGATGATTATCTTATTGAAGCATGTGACATATTCCAATTGGAAAAAATCCCAAAGAAAATCGTTGATGAGATAGTTAACGTTTACCGAGTCAAAAAGTACTTCTCAACTGACGGTTGGAATACTATGAGTCATCTATTAGAGAAGATAGCAAATGAAGTGGGCTGGCACTGCAAAACCTGCTTGCGGGAATTGAACGAGAAACAAGAGCAAATAGGCTGTGACGTTTGCCTTGAATGGTTCCATTTGACGTGCACTGGGAAATCTGTACCACCAAAAACAAAGTCCTGGATTTGTAGGAGCTGTTGTAGAGACTATGAAAACACTTAATTTTTAAGAATTAAGCCTATACATTTGTCTATCTGTATAAACATTTTGTCTGTCTGTATGAAATACATAAAAATGACATATATAGAGGGTCCTGAAGGGGTAAAATGGGAACTGGATTGATCTATTTTTAGACTTGGAAAATGGGATTTGGGTTGCTGGGACTGGGCCACTGGGAATGGGAAATGAAGTCCTCAAAAATGGGAATGGGATTGAGGTAATGCGAGTCGATTCCCAAGTTTTCTACGTTTTAAGTATTTTAAAATACAATTTTGATCCGTTTTTGGGTGTCTTTGGGCATGATTTTTGTTGTTAACTATATTATTCACAGCACTACCTGCGAACAGGCATACTCTGGCGCCCGGAATTCTGGGTTTTCTGATTAAGCGTGTCTCAGAATGCTGCAAATGCCATTTCCGGGATGAATATCTAACACTTTTATGGTTCGCAATTGTAAATGAATGTAAACTAGAGTACGTTTCAATTCACAAAAAAGTTCTAAAGATGCAAAAATTTGGGCAATATTTATATCAGTGGAGTGTGGGTCCCCCTTTGTTATGAGCAGAACTGATATGCAGAACGAACTTAACACGGTCTTTAATTTTTGTTTGAGAAGATATATAGATTGCAATAATAAATTAAGAAATTATGCTACGAAAAATCGCGCTGAAAATTTAGATTTGAGTCATTGATTCATTCCATATGGTCTCCTATATCTATGATTCATTCACACGCAATGCCACGCTTCATTCTTTCCTCGCGTGTCTTCTTTCCACGCGAGGTGCGAAAGCGCGTTTATTTCTCCCCCGCGTGTGCTCGCATGGAGAAAATATGAAATATGTCATGTCCACACAGTAAGCCGAGGATTCAAATCACATTTGATCATTCACATTAATGATCAACAATTGGAACTGGTTACATCTTTCAAGATTTTGGGTTTGACTATTAATAGTCACCTTAAATGGAATGATAACGTTGCAATTATCGTAAAAAAAGCGTCGAAACGCCTTTACATCCTTCGGGTGTTGCGTCGATCTGGAATTCCATCCGCTGACTTGCTCTCAATCTATAACGCCTTAATCAGATCTGTTTTGGAATATGCTTGTGCAGTCTGGCATACCAGTCTACCTCAGTATCTCTCCAACAAAATTGAACGGGTGCAGAAACGTGCTCTGCGAATTCTGTACCCTTTCACTGATTATGCGGAAGCCCTATCTATCAGTCGTTGTTCTCGCCTTGATGATAGAAGGCAGTCAATATGTCAGAATACCTTACAAAAGATTGCTAAGCCTTGCTCGAAACTGTACCACTTGTTGCCGTCAACTCGCGGAAACGTCCATGGACGGAGTTTGAGAAATAATAATCAATTATCGCTTCCCAAATGTAGAACTGAGAGGTTTAAGAACAGTTTTATCCCGGCAATGTGCTATAGTCAAGTTGACGTATAGGCCTTTATGGTCTTAACTTGTATATTAGGTTTTAACATTTATATTAGATATAGTAATTCATATTTTAGCATTTTTGTAAATTTTAGTATATTTCCATGTAAGCATATTGTAATTCATTTTCAATGCGATAATATGCAAATAAACCATTAATAATAATAATAATAATAAAAAAGATCGATTTCAGGAACGAAAATAACGTCTATCGCAATCGCTTACTGTCCCTTTATAACGGTAGGGTTATAAATATTGATAGAAACAAATATTTTCCCGACAATTGAAAGAAATATTCCGACTGCAGTACGAATAGCAAATCAAACTCCGCATACTGTTCCAGTACGAATAGCCACTTCGTTCTTGTTTTGTTCAAGATTTTGTTTCTGGGGTTTGGTATTTTCTGTTGACTCCGGATTTATTTAGTTATCGATCAGAGTTTTGAATGTATTTGATGTGGTGATGTTGTATTGCTCACTGGTGATGTTGTATTGCTCACTTGTGCTTGTTGTAGTGGGTGTAGGTGACATGGACGCCCAAGATTGAATTTCAGGGTTTGATTCCTCTTTCATTTTATTTGTTTTTTGTAAGTCACTGTTCTTTTCTTCAGTTTTCTTACATCTCTTGTTTAGTTTGACAATTTCCTCATTAATTTCCAATTGTTTGAGGGTTAAGTCACTAATTGTTTGCTGCTTTGTTATTTCAGAAGAATTGAGATGTCATTCTTAAGAGTATTTATCTCTTTATTCTCTAGTGATTGTATAAGTTCACATATTGTTTTTGTTGAATTCTCCTTGAAAAGGACAAATTCGGCTTCAAGATTTGCTTGTTGTGTTTTCAGGTTGTGAAAGATTTTTCACGAGCAGATGTAGGAACACTTGTATTATCCGTAGTTTGATCTGTTGTGTTTGTTGATTGGGAATTGATTTGGGTTTTATCAATCTTTGGCTTTGAGATGGTTTGTAGGAACGGTTTGATGTTTTCGTTGTTCCACGAGGTATCAGCTGAATTGACCATAGCTATTAGGTTATTAAATTAATTAGCACCCCATTCTTGCAGTAGTCGTCCTTGGGCTTGAATCCGACCAGTGTTTACATATATTGTGATAATGGGAATATTTTCATTTTCATTCGACAAAATGTCAAGTGATATTTTATCTCGCCGAGTTCGTTGCATTGTCTTGCTCTAGCCATTTTGTGTTTAATATTGTTTCCAGTTCCTTGTTCATATCATTGTGGGCATTTTTGCAATATTGATTATATAATGCTTTAATCCATAATGGTAGACGGATTTCTGTTGTAGAAAATGTTACGCTATTTGCTTTGTATATTTTGAAATCGAGTTCTTCGTGACTCGTTTCGCGTTGTTGTTTTTGAAGCTTTTATTCTTCTATCTTTTGAGCGAGTCGTCAAACGCGGTATTTATTGACATTTCTGTGATGGTTCAGTTTTTCTTCTCTGGTCGGTCTGAATGACTTGTTTCTTCGATAAAAATAATTCTAGATAGATCCCTTTATCTTTAAGTTTGATAATAAGAGGCAAACTCTATCACTATTCACTTAGAAAGATTCATTTTCCTCGGAGCATTTCAGCACATGTGTTATAGCTTCCACCATCTTGGCTATAGCCTTACTTTTTTGTCAATTTTCGGCCCTTTTTCAAAAATGGAAAGTGGCTGAAAATGGATGAAAAGTTAAAGATGCGGTGCAGTCCGTATGTAAACAAAGGCTTTGTTTACATTTTGGTATAAAAAATATTGAATTTTATTCGACAACTATTTATATTTTCATGATTCTAGAGTATAATAAATTATCAAGAGACAACAATCAAGCTTTGCAAGAACATAAAATGAAATAAAACCTAAATAAATTGTTTGTAAATAAAAAGAGGGCTCCTTTGTGCACATGCGCAGCTCCGACTGTACTGCATCTTTAAGGCTATTATTAATATTAATAAGCTTTATTTCCATGACCTAATTAAAAAAAATAACAGAAACAATATGATTAGTTACTTAAACATTGACAATTAGCCGAGGTCTTGAAATGGGAATCCATAGGTATAATTCTCATCAGCTTGAAAATATATAAATATTCTAGAGTGAAGTCTCTTTATCAAGGAATTTTTTTTAAACCAAATTGCTGACCTGCCAATTGTGGTTTCACATGTTTCTGGTTTCAGAAATTTATCAAACTTGTGAGGCAAATTTTTGAGGCAAATTCATAAGTAATTTTTTCTTCTCATCAATGACCAGGTTTGTCCACTCGTAGTTGCTTTTTTTTTCCATTACCATCCAATTTTTCCCAAACACTGAATGTGACACCACAAGAATTTATCACTTTCACAGTATTTTTTAAGTGTAATCCTCTCGCTCTTTGGCTTTCTTGGATTTGTCTTCACACAAATCACGCCTAATAGCAGTAAGTAGAATATTCCTTTCAAGGCAATCTAAAAGCATAGTTAGGGTAAAGGATGTAAGATTTTATCTATAAATACACTGTACAGTATATTTCTGTATGTACATAAATATGTATACAGCTATTTCAATTAAGGTTGTCCCCGAGCAAAGCGGAAAAGTCGAATATGAGCGTGAAAGGCTGCTGGGAATCAATAAAAATTAATGAATTTATTAGTCTATTAGAGATACCACCCAGCAGCGTTTCACACTCATATTCGACTTTTCCACTTTGCTCAGGGAAAACCTTAATTGAAATAGCTGTATATATTACCTGTTATTCGTAACAAGGTGAAGTTCATCCACCTTAACATTTTCAATTGGTATATTAAGTTGTGGTGGATTAATGCAACCATAGTGGTCTTATTTTTACAAAGATTCTTATTTAAAGTTTGTTCGTTCACTGCAACCAGGTATATCAATCATAAACAGTCTCTAACTTCCCTTCGACAGTTCTGTGCACATTCAAATCTAAAAAAGCTAAATGTCCATTTATCTCACATTCTACCGTGAACTGGATGGACGGCTCAATAGAATTTAAATGTTGCAGCAGAATATCGATTTCATTTCTAGAAACTGCAGAGATGACATCATTGACGAAACGTTTCCAAAACGATAGAGATACCGGAACAAAGGCTAAAGCTCTTTGTTCGACATCTTCCATTACTAAATTAGCAACTAGGGTACCTGCAAGGTAGGGATTGTATCAAACACAGTGATTACTCGCAGCAACAAGTGAGCTGTGAATAGAACTGAGAAGAAGCAATATTTATTGAAGTAGCAAAGACCAGGGGTTAAAGGGCAATCAGAGGTGACAGATATTAAACATGTGCGTCTCATTGACATACTGGTAAATTAAGATCAGATTTCATATCAAGTCTGTTTAGGCGCATTTACCACATTATATAGACTATATACACAGATTTATCACACTAAGGAACCAAAACTATAGAACTGACAGTGGCCAAAGTCCAATACAAATGTAAGTGTAACATTAGACATGAAAAAGCTTTAGAAATTCGATAAAAATCAAGTACTCGAGTGAGTTTAAGATGTGTGTTCTGCGCATAGAAATCGTGCACGACCACAATTCCATGCGCTAAATAAAATTTAGTTCAAAACCCCCTCTCTGCATATATTAGGTTGCTGCTACGCTCGCTCGCTTCAGGCTCGCTCGCTCCGCAGCAATTACTGCCAATACTGGTGACCCCATCGCTGTTCCAAAACCTGTTGATAATAACAGCCTCAAACACAAAGTATGTGGTGTTGAGACAAAAAGACAGGAGATCAATAATAACTTCTACAGGCAAGGGTGTTCTTTGTAACAAAGTGGCATCCTGTCTTAGTCTTTTTGTGGCAAACTTGATGGCACGATCAACTGGGATGTTTGTAAACAAGGAAATGACGTCAAATGATACCAACACTTGATCTGCTTTAAGAGTTTTACCTCTTACAAATTCTGCAAAATTACAGTAATTTTTTACAGTGTTTTCGGTATTCCCCACCACAGGACAACATTTTCGCCAAAAAACTTGAAACTCCATATGTAGGAGAATTCACAAAGGACACAATAGTTCTCAATGGAATTTCCAGTTTGAGCCGTCCATCCAATTCACTGTAGAATGTGAGATAAATGGACATTTACCTTTTTTAGATTTGAATGTGCACAGAACTGTCGAAGGGAAGTTAGAGACTGATGTTTATCACAAACCCACACACACAGACAAATACTTGTCATACGACTCTCATTAACCAGTAAGTCATAAAAGATCCGTAGCAAAAACTTTGCTTCAAAGACCTGAATCCTTGCTGTCAAACAGTGATTCTCAAGCTAATGAACGTGAATATGTTCTAAATATTTTAGGGGAAAACGATTACCCAAAACGTTTTCTTAATGATTGCCTGAGATCACCTGTTTGTAGGAACCAAAATAACTCCGAGGGTGATACCTCTGTTAGGGGTTATGCAATAGTTCCGTACATTCAAGGTGTCACAGAATCAATCAAGAGAATCTTAAGTAATTGTAATATTAAAGTTGCATTAAAACCCTATTTGACTTTAGGCCATATTTTTGCAAAGCCAAAAGACCCTGTTAAAACTAGCCTGCGAACAGGCTCTCAAGCTGTATTGAGAGCCTGCATCGATGACTAATGAATTTGAATATCTGCGTCTCAAATTGTGACGCGAAATTCTCATTGGTCAGATGCTATAATTTATATTATTCCGCTGAGCTCTATATATGTCAACTGCTAAGCACTATGCATAAAAAACACATTAACTGATCAAATTGGTCTTGGCCATCTTATCTCAAAGCACGAAATGTTCTGTTTTGAGAAAACAGTATTTAAAACATTTAAACTTTTGCTTGAATATCTTATATTTTGAAAAACAGTATAAACTGTACGGTCTAAATTTAGTTTGCATGGTCTAAATTTAGTTTGCACGAAAGTTGTAAACAACACCATATAAGGATAGACATTCCATATTTGAAAAA